GGGGGGGGGGTGAGCTCGGCTGATGGATGGAGGGGAGGAAACCTCCGGAATCTGCCAGCCTCCAGCCTTCTATAACCAGCATGAGGAGAGCGACAAAGAGGCGATGCATGGCGTACATAATGAGCTTTTTTTTATCGCTCGCTGTTTGAGCTCTTTGAGGCCTTCTGATGATGTAACGCTTGTTTCTTATGAAGTTAAAAATTGCCTTTCAACGATTGCTTCTGTGCTAATCTGCGGCCATCACGGGACTGAGCTCTTTTCCGCGATAAATGCGTTCCAACGCGACTGGGGGCTGCCGCTAAATCATGCTCACCAGCCGCGTCCAATTACGTAAGCGGAAGAGCATCACGTCCGAAGCAAGCGTCTTTACGTGTTCATCGCGGCCTCAGCAGGAAAGGAATTTGCAACATTTGCGCCGCTGGAATGTGAAAACGGGTGCGCGGAGGCCGCGGGGGTCTCATCGGAAACGCTTCTTAGTGAAGGCGGCGCGATTATGAGCTTAGCATGGAGTTAGCTCCCGCTGGCATCCGTAAGCCTTGTGGACTGATCCCGCAACGGGCGTGGAAATGCAGCTTGTTTTCGCCACAATTACGTCCAATCCACATGTAGGTCAAGCGGAGCGCTTTGGTCACCGCTTGTGAGACACTCGCCACTGCCACCGTCGGCCGGCTCTTTACGTTGCATGGTGGGATGTGGCGGCCATTTTAGGTTACCGGAAGAATCCCGGAAGCACAGTGGCCGTGATGTTTCGGCGGCGCGAGACGTCGCGCAACCTTCTGAGCCTTCCGCAACCTTGCCAAGACTCTTCGTAAGGTGACAACAATGTGTGTAATTTTGCTTTGGGAGGATAAACCGAATCGTTCATCAACCGGATAATTCCACTGCCCTTTAAAAGTCTTAAATATAATAAAGTTATATTGCCACTGCCCAGCACTGGCCTTAAGCAGGAACTCAACAGCACGCTGGTTTTAACAGCAAATGTGGCTTACAATCAATCCCCCCTTAAGTGTATTAAAAGCAGCTCTTTGTCAGGCAATCACAGCAGTGTGTGAAGCTTATTTGGATCCCAGTAGTTAAAAATTGAAACATTTGGAGAAGTATACAAATTGAAAACGATCTTAATTAACTACTGTCTTGAAATGAGACTTAATTCCCCGCCCCCCAATCCATGTTTTAATAACCTCTCAAAGTCAAAATACTCCAAGGATGCAAATTTATAGTATACTTTCCACAGCCTGTTTCTTGTCTAGCTGAAATGAGTTCCGTTTTAGATGGCTCATGCAAGTGAGTCATTGTATACCTCACCGCATAAAGTACTGGGAAAATGACATGTCCGACCCTGGAAGATGGGGTAAAATAGCAATAAAAATTCTTTAAAGGCATGGATAAAGACACTACAAGAACCAAAACAATGCAAATACCTCCCAAGTCAGTTGTTGAGAAATTTTGAAATCACGTTCTCCCCTCACCATCTTCAATAGCATGACTCATGGGGCGCATATTTACAGACCCGGCCGTCCACTGAATAGAGAAGCCCCGCGCATAAAGTACTGGGAAAATGACATGTCCGACCCTAGAAGATGGGGTAAAATAGCAATAAAATTCTTTAAAGGCATGGAGACAGACATTACAAGAACCAAAACAATGCAAATACCTCCCCAGTCAGTTGTTGAGAAATTTTGAAATCACGTTCTCCACTCACCATCTTCAATAGCTTGACTCATGGGGGGCATATTTACAGAACCGGCCGTCCACTGAATAGAGAAGCCCCACGTCGCCTCTCCTCGAGGTGTTTTGTGTAAAAGGGCGGAAGACAAAACAAAATCCAAAGTGACAGTGGATGCTTTGGGAGCCTCGCTCTTGGAAATGACTCCTGACTCCAACTCGGGCAAATGGTGTTAGGAGGCGCCCGAGGCCTGCGAATCATCGCTTTGCCTTCCATTTATCATACGCTTGACCTCTGGGAGACCTCCTTCGCGCGTGTAATCACCATCTCACACACACATGCGGTACGCTATGCAGCTTTTGTCACCAAACCTAACACTCCATTAGGTTCAACTTCTCAATCGAATGAGATTCAGATGTAATTGAAACATTGTTGAGGTGATAAAATATTAGAAACCCTTCGTTGTATCTGACGTTGAGGTCGCCTCGGTGTGTTTTGGACGCAACCCGGAGGAGAAGAACCCGCGGGCTAATCTTCTTATGTAAGCGCCCATTCAGTTGACGGAACGCTCGCTCGCGCGCGCGCGCGCGCGAACTAATCCGCCGAACGCTCGCGCTTGACACGCGCGTACCCGCGGACGCGCTCACACTTGTGGCTCTGCGCGGAGGCACCGCGAGAAACCGCCGAACAAATACGAGCAGCCAATGAAGCGATTTCAAATCATATTTGCGTCCGTGGAATAGTGTGTGCAACGGGGCGTTTTCCCTTCCGGCACGTGACGCGTCAGAGAGAAAGAGAGTGAGAGAGAGTGCAAACTCCCATTTGGTTGTCCTCACCCCGCCTCCTCCTTCTCCTCCTTCGCCGCCAGTGGAGCAGCAAGTGGAGCTGACGGCCGGCCATTCGGACCGCAAGGCAGCGCAGCATCATCGTCCGTGACATCCACCCGGGCCGAGATGGAGGTACCAGGCATAGCGCGCAACATCAGCAGCCCGCTGAGCCCCTGCGAGGGGATGATCAAGGACCTGAGCCTGGACGCCATACAGCTTTGTGAGCGAGACGGTGAGCTCGAGATCAACTTATTCGCATATTATCGGAGTGCATTTGTGCATTACGGGTGACCCCCCCCCCCTCTTCCCCCGGCCCCCATTCGCCGCAACGTGCAGAGTCTGCCTTTGATTGCCTTTTGTAAGGGACTCACAGGGGTTCCTTTGAATGGCTGCTGCGTGTGTGGAATTGCAAGAGAGGTAACAAAGCCTTTATGTGTTACATACGCATGTTAAAAAAAAAAAAAAAAGCTCTTATCTCAGCAGTGCAGGCATCACCGCACCTAACTGCTTTCTCTTAATGCATCATTCGCAACCGGAAACATAGTCTCGGGGAATAGTTGTCATTATCAGAGTGCATTTGCGAAATAAGATGGCCTCAGGGGGTGCCTTACACCATCCCATAATGAGTCAACACCTCTTATGAACCCTTAAGTGGTGGTGCAAAAAAAAAACAAAAAAACGCAAGTCATCATCAGGTGAGACTCCCAACATGGCCGCAGCCACATGTGAGTGAGCGCACAGCCTCTGCAACAGCCCGAAAGCCCCCCCAAACGATCACTTCTCATTTGTTCCGACACACGTGTTCATTGCGCATCAGGCGCTGCTCCTCAGCATGCAAGACGCAGCACGCCGGCGCACTTTCTATCCTTTTTAGTGCATTGCTGGCTGGATTCGAAAGCTTTCATTTTGCTAATGGTCAGGAGTGGACTTGCTGCCAGATTTTTTTTAGGTGGGGGGCCATCTCGTAGGCCGCAGGTGGAAGCGGGGAGCCCTTTTCAAAACATTTGCCGACACTTCTGGCTGAGTCGTCTGAATAAATATCACCCGCGTGTCCTTGGGACACCCACATGGCATTTTGTTTATGGCGCAACAAACGCACCCTTGGGCCACAACGCTTGTCGAAGAAGCGCCGGAGAGACCAGTTTAGCTGCAGGGCCGTGTGAAAAATCAGCCGAGTATTGGGTCACATGGGGGCTTACCCGACTTAATCCACCTCTTCATAGCGTCGCTATCAAGTCGCGATTACAAAAACCGCCAATATGGTCCCAAATACAAAAAAATGCAAAGTAACAACACGCAACTGTGCCACGTACGTCATCTGGAGCAGTTCGGGATCAATATTTAGCTAACGCCCGCTTCAAACAACAAAGAGTATGCAGAAAAGTGGTGAAGATTGAATGACTATCTTGTGTCTTAAGTGTTGCGTTGTATTATTTTGCTTTGGGGGCTTACCCGACTTAATCCACCTCTTCATAGCATCGCTATCAAGTCGCGATTACCAAAACCGCCAATCTGGTCCCAAATACAAAAAAACGCAAAGTAACAACACGCAACTGTGTCACGTACGTCATCTGGAGCAGTTCAGGATCAATATTTAGCTAACGCCCGCTTCAAACAACAAAGAGAAATGTATCCATTGTGAGACGATTAAAGGTTTTCTTATTCTTACTCGAAACCTACATTCAAATAAAATACAACAAACTCTTGCGAGCTGCTGATTACAAAATGTTTTAGTCATCAACCAATCGTGAGCAAAAAATTGCTGAGGTGATTGTGTCAGCTGGATGAGTCTCCATTGAGGAATCAGTGAAATTGATTGGTTCAAGGAGCAGTTGTGTAAATTACAACCAAACTACAGATTTGTTTGGCTTGTCTCACGATTTTGCCGATCAAACCGTGTTGATCAGACTCGCCAATCGCTGGACGGCTAACCTTGTTGTTGACTAGCTAACCCGTCTGATATCAAGTCAAAATCAAAAGCGGGGCCGGCGCTGGCCATTTTGATGGCCGAAGCACAAACGCTTTGCGGTTGACCTTGACCCTGAACATGACAAAGTGGTCTGAAAAAAATAAAAAATGATGGAAGACCCAGCACCCGCATGTAAAGTCGCCGTATGGAATTTCCTGGAAATAGCCAGTGTCACCTTGTGTCTTTTTCAGGACCGTATTCGTTTACGCCACTTTGTTGCTTTCTAAATTTACCTCTCACGGCCATCAATATTTAATTGGCAGCATGAGAGGCTGCATGTGGCCATGCTGAGCCAGCAAATGGGAGCGCATGCGGCATCGCCGGGCCTCTTCCTGTTTGCGGGAATGGAACACAAACACACACACACACACACACACACACACACACACACACACACACACACACACACACACACAGACAGAGCACTGTCGGGGCATTTCAGTGCACCAAACACGTGGCAGGACAGTTGTGTCAGTGTGCAGTGGTGAATGACAAAAGTTCTCCAGTCAAAATGCAGGACTCGTAACTCAAAATGGAGGACGTGCTACTTGTACACCCTCACACTAAGAATAATTGTTTTTGTTATACGAAAGGTATAAAAAGGTACTTTGGACTCCGATAATGATCCCCTAGGGGTGCATTTTTTTCCCCAAAACATATTTCAGTGACGCCTTTTCACTCTGCGCTGGCCGTGTTACCCGAGCGTCATTCTCAGCATTCCAAGTAGATTGTCTTGATCCATCATGGAAGTTGAACCAGTAAATTAATTAGCCCCGCGCGGTTCTCTGAAGAGTTGAGTTTTAATCAAATGCAAATTAATGATGTCGGGCCTCAGACGTGCGCTTAGTGCTAACGACGCAGATGAGCAAATTAGCGTCGGCGTTGTGTCGACGTGCGGCGCAAGTGCTCGACGCGGTAAAATTGGAATTGTGTAAATTGCAATTGTTGGCGTGTCTCAGACAACATGACGGCGCAAGCCGGATTGACGTGCGTCTGTGATGCATCCGCGGTTTAAAACTTTCTGAGGCAGTCTTGAAGCTGCTAGCAAGATCTGAATGTAGCCTCACTTAAGCCCCACCCCCTCGACCCCCTCGCATCTCCACCCCAAATTTTGGGATGAACAATCAGTTAAAAACATGAGGCACGCCGCTCTTGTGACCTTTTCAAGTCCAAATAAAATTATAGCGGCATAAGATGTGGCCAGAGTGTGAAAAAAAATTTGTTTGATTGACAGGTCATACACACAATAAAGGTTTGTTTCATTTTCTGGCAGATTCCAACAAGAGACACTTGCTGCCGCTGTGTCTTTTCTTCTCGTGGTTCATTTCCAATCACTGCCCGCCTCTTCGAAGCAACAAACTCGCTGACTTGTTGGGCGATGACAGCTGCTACCGTCGACCCGACTGAGTCACTTGAACGCAATCTGTTCCAGGGGACTGCCCAACCTTGTATTTGCTCACTTGAGATGAATTTTCCGCCGGTAGAAATCATGGCAACTGATGGTGAGCAGTAACGAAGCGAATATGCCAGTTACTCAGAACGTTTGCCGGTCTCAAAATGGGCGGCGTGATTGTCGGGCAACGAGTGCGCCGTTTGGTCTCGCTTTAAATGCGGCAGAGTTTGGAAACGCGCTTGGACAGCGAGCGAAAGCTCATTTGGTCTTCCCGTCGCCTGGAGTCGCTTCAAATAGACTGCAGCGCTCCCAATAAGAGATGCGGGGGAGAAAAATAGATGAAAGGAATAATGGGGCGAGAGAAAGTCAATTCTGGAGGGAGGTCTTTGAAAACTTGGAAAGATTGCCACGTATGCTTTGTTCAAGGCTTTTGATTCAAAACGTTGTGGGTACGCTGAAAAACGAGCAGCCACGCGCTGTCGTCAGAACGTAGCCGTGTAAAAATGTTGGCATTTCAGTCGACAAGAAGTCCACTTTGAATTTGAGAAAAATACGTCCCAACAACTCCCTGAAATTATTTTTGTGTGTGTGATGGCGTTGATGATCTGCTTTGACCGTGTCTGCATTTGCGGCCGAGAAGCTTGCCGGTTGTGTAAACACGGCGATGAAGGGCCACATTGTTTGCTTGGCTCGCTTTTGAGAGAGACGCTCTTGTTTTCCGGGCGCTCTCAGCATGACGCCCGTGTCAGTCTAGTAGCCCGTGTAGCGAAACCCAACAAAGACGCGTTTTTCAAAAGAGTCCGTCCACATCCGTCCGTCCCCGCTGTGACACTGCTAACCCCCCCCCCCCCCCCCCAAAAAAAAGCTTGGGAGGCTGCCCCCAAGACAAAGGATGTTTCATTTTGTTGTATTACACGGCCACCGAATTCAATTTGTAAATAAAGTGAATTACAACCCGGGCGGCCCGGTGACTCCACCTGTGCGTGGCTTCAAAAGGCGGTGAGTGACGTGGGAGTCAACGAATGCGAGTGGCTATCGTGGCGCAGGATAGCGGCTGGCTGTGAACTGGCTAACATTTAGCTCGTCTGCAAGTTGATCGGCTTCGGCTACCAGCTGCGGCCGTGAGCTCATGCCTGAATGTGCTTGTTTAGTCTTGATTTTGTTACCGTTTGATAGCGCAGCAATTGTCGATGAGACAGCCCTCGTCATGATGTCACGATGTCCCAAACACAAGATGCCTTGATTGTTGTCGATGTCCTAGCCTGTCACTAATGAAGCACCCCCAAGTAAGTCAGTTCTTCAGTCCAGGTAAATCTGGAGCAGAGCTGAACACGCGGATCCATTAGGAGGGTGATTTGTTTGAATGTTAACACGATTTTTATTGATCCCTCCGCAGCCGGGCATTGTGGTGCTCTTTAATGGCACTCAATGAAAAGGGAAATGCTGACAAACGCCAATGTTTGCCTCTCTGCAAATGCTCGTCGTGAAGTAGCAAATGTGCTCTTATAGCAAGTCGTCGTCATTCAGTGGCTTTGAGGGTGAAAATGGTGACGCAGCATCATTTGTATCGATGCTCTCGCCGCCGACAAACGTGACTCACGGCAACGTCGGGGTCGTCCCCCGGTGAGCAATACCGGGGTTAATTTCGACCTCCTCCGTCCTCCATCTTTCATTCTCGCCGTCTCCCGGAGGATTGCTCACAGATGAGCGGCGCGGGCCGTACCCGCAAATGGTGGAGAGGGTCTGGCCGCAATATTAGCGATGCAGTGGAGTTGAGGTTTAAGAGAAAAGTCTTGTCGGGAGTCGACGGAAGGAAGATAGGCCAAATATCTCTTCATGCACTTTACATACGCGGCGGTTAATCATTCGTCGTCACGCTGTATATCCCTCTCAGTAATATACAATACACACTCTTGGCTCGAATAACATCTAGCTAGCTAGCTACATCTCTCTTGCTCGCTAGCTCGCTACATCTCTCTTGCTAGCTAGCTTGCTTCATCTCTCTTACTAGCTAGCTAGCTTAATCTCTCTTGCTAGCTAGCTAGCTAGGTACAGCTCTCTCGCTAGCTAGCTAGCTTCATCTCTCTTGCTCACTAGCTAGCCACATCTCTCTTGCTAGCTAGCTAGCTTCATCTCTCTTGCTAGCTAGCTAGCTAGCTAGGTACATCTCTCTCGCTAGCTAGCTAGCTTCATCTCTCTTGCTCGCTAGCTGGCCACATCTCTCGCTCCGCTGTTTCTTCTCTCCATTACTTGATCCATCAAGCGAGTTTTTACAAAGACGCAATGCCACCAATCTTCTCCACCCACCTTGTTGTCAATGAACAGAGCGAATCCTCTGGTGCTATGCCACGAGTGTCGGTCTGTGTTGTCATTTGCATTTCGGGAGGAGAATTTGCAATGCTTTGTCATTACGGTGATGGACGGTGTTAATAACAACGCAGATGATCTAGCTCGCCCTAATGTAACGACCCCTTGTGGATTGTGATAAATGACTGTGGGGGGGCATACGCCACAAAAGAAATAATGGCCTCATTTGAAATAACTATCTACTGTCGGAGTCATGATCAAAACTTGAGCGGCCGTGCTGGCTCGCCGTCGGATGTCACTAAATTCAAATATGAAAGGCCAGTCTGGACACGCGCTGTGCGCCAAGATTACTTTGGTGATGGAGCGAGTCTCTCAAGTGTTCCATTTGCATTCGTTCTGGGTGACGGCGGGCCTTCACCTGAATCAAAGGTCGGCAACAAACGGCGGAACGGCGCGGTCCAAAATGTACTTTTCAGGTGGACTGCGTGCCCCGTAACGAATGCAGGTCGTCTGTGCTCTGCCTCCGATGTCGATGAGATTTCAGCACAACCTAAATTTGGAGCTTTGTCCTGTTAAGTTGTATTCACAAACAGTCTGCTCTCTTCGTTTTGTTGCGCTTCTCTTAGCTGCACTGTCTCCACTTCATATGGACGTGAGATTGCTTTTGTCCAATCAGATTTCAGGCCCTCTGTTTTGCCACATCAAGCTAATCTGCCCAAGGCGGGGGTCAGCAACCTGCGGCTCGACAAGCATTTGAGGCACCTTGCTGGTGTAAATGAAGATCTAGTTCCCGTTGACGTGCACCGACAATTGATTTAGCTCGTGACAAGTCCAGGGTGCACCCCAAAGATCACCTGCTACCCTGAAGCGAACGTAATTATGACGAGCTGCCTTCTGATTGGCCATTTCTAAACGGGAATCTACACAGTCTGCATTCTTGTTTCAAAATGAGTACGCGCGTGAGTAAAGGTGTGTTTGTGTGTGTGTGTGTGTGGTTGCAAGACAGTCCAATTATGGAATTGCACTTTTAATCTCGGCCCCTCTCGGCGCATGAATGGTGATGGCTTGACCACGCTCTGCTGCTTCTGCCATTGTTTGGATGTGCGTTCTTTGCAGCACCCCCCCCCCACACACACACACACACACACACACACACACACACTCGAACACACACGTTGCATTGTCGAGTGTGACGCGCAAAGTCTATATTCATCCGCGATTGCACAAAGGAGCCGCTGAGCCGTGTTTTGACATTTCCTTTGACCTTGCGTTGCACCGGGGGGGACGTTGACATGCGCCATCACAACTGAGAAAGAAATACGTGACAGATTGGAGCATATTGACCACCAAATGTCAATTTTGCCGATGAGTGATGGAGCCTCCTCTGTGGAGAGCGCACGTTCAATCAGCACCGTTTTGAAATATTTAATGCGCCTTCTGCTCGGGGAAGCACATAGGTATGTATTGGAAAGGGGGGTGGGGGGAGATGATGTGTTTCCATGGCAACATGCACTGGTTCGACTGTAAGTGGCCGACGGGGAGGCAGAATAATCACTCGCAGCGATAAAAGAATGAGAGCTGTGAGTGGAATGAATGCACAGGCAGGATTTAAAGGCCAAAGATCAACATTATGGACTAAGCGTGACTTTCGTTCTGCGCAGGAAGTAAATCCCAGGATGGCGCCATCTCCGACATGGAGGAGCTGCCCGTCCCGCAGGGCATCAAGATCAGCAACATCACCTGTGACTCTTTCAAGATCTGCTGGGACATGGAGCAGCGCGGCAAGGAGCGCATCACGCATTACTTCATTGACCTGAACAAGAAGGAGAACAAAAACTCCAACAAGTTCAAGCACAAGGTAACACCAACGCGCCCCAGGAAGCGTTTTTGTTGTGCACGCGTGGCCGGAGCTTGAGAGTCCAGCGCAGGATCTTAGTTGTTTGTAATATTGGATGTTGTCATCAAAACTTGCATTTGCCATAATGTGTTCTCTTGAAAGCGGCTTCCTTGCTCATCACCAGCAGGAGTGTCATTTGGGGGAGGGCGGGGGGGGGTATGTGAAGATCAAAAGCTCGTTTTGACATCATGGCGGGCAACGGCGCGCCGCTGTTTGGATGAAGTGTGCAGCAGCAGGGGTGTCGGGAGAAGAACTGTGCCACGTCGTTGCTGGGCGGAGCATGAAATATTGGTGCAGTTGTCCCTCGAGGCTCATGTGTTGGAGGGAGTGGGGGGGAAGGGGAGTGGCGGGGTCCGTCCTCGATGAAAGGGGGTCACTGTGATGTGGTGTTTGTGAATTACAGTGGCAACTTGTTACGGAAAAAAATAAATGGAGCGTAGTACACTAAGCGGCCAACGAGATCCTACCATAGTCATTAGGCCACGCCCCTTAAAGGCACACAACCCACACACAAGTACTCCAGTACCAACAGGAATGACATTTCAAGAGTTTCAGGTCCCACGATTGAAGTCCGGTTGATGCGTCTCCCTCCAGGATGTGCCGACCAAGCTGGTGGCCAAGGCGGTGCCCCTCCCCATGACGGTGCGCGGCCACTGGTTCCTCAGCCCGCGCACCGAGTACACGGTGGCGGTCCAGACGGCGTCCAAACAGACGGACGGGGACTACGCCGTGTCGGAGTGGAGCGAAATCGTCGAGTTCTGCACCGCCGGTGAGTCACGGTGACGATGATTTCCTCGCACTTTTAATTTCCTGAAATCTCGAGCAGTGTTTACATTTTCAAATGACGACATGATGAGAAAATGATAATGTCACATCGGCGGCAAGGGATTTTTTTAGAACAGGACCGCGGTCACCACATTGGTCAGCCCTGGGTTGAAGAATCTATCGACTAGCTTGAGTATTGTTCGATATTCTGTCTCCAGGCTAACCATTAGCTTGTCAATGGCATTTTCCCTTCTATGTTAGCATTCAGCTAGCAGGCTTTT